ACTCTGAATTAAAAACACTGATCATTTATTGAACAGGATGGAATCATTTCAGATTTAAAGAACTTTCAGAAGTTTGAATCATGAATATGACCGGACTTTTCTTTAAAAGTGGACCTCAGGTGTCCATGGCTGAGTTCTCCAAAGTTCAGACCTGTAGCCACAGCGGTTCTCTAATGTTCAAAGTCCAGTTTAAAAGAGAAAATGGTGAGGAGAACTGGACCCTTCTGTCTGTAAGGTGTTACTGCTCCATGATCATTTAAGCTACTGGTATGAGATCACACTGTGAAGCAGTAGAGCCATATCTGCAGCTGTACCAGTGAACATCCAGCCAAACCAGTAACAACAGCTTCCCAACAATCAGCTTTGTTTGGTTTGTGATCTACAGGGAACTATGTGCTGAACTACCTGGCTACGCGGCCGAAGCTGGCAGCGTTTGTGACTCAGGCTCTGATCCAGCTGTACGCCCGCATCACCAAACTGGGTTGGTTCGACTGTCAGAAAGACGACTATGTCTTCAGGAACGTCATCGCCGACGTGACGCGGTTTCTCCAGGTGAGCGGCTTGGATCATGTGATGTTAACGGTGCGTTCAGACGGCCACCGCACTTTACCTCTGAACGCAGCATTAGACATCCTGGTTCCTCTTCAGAATTTCTGGTTCTTAAAACTTTAGATACTTTGGGTTCCTATGCCACTGGAAATAGGTGGTGAAGTTCTGGTTTCCCAGAGTTTAGCAGGAATTTTGATGGAAATTTTGAACTCTGCTATTCAGTAAAATAAACTGTTGAACTTTGAATAATTACACTTTAAAAGAAGTTTTGTGACTTTTCTTCAAGGGGATTAAAGTTTTATGGTTTTGACTTTACTTTTTTTAACTGTCAAAAATATTGGCAGTTTGGGGGGGGATGGGCTTTTTTTTCTTTTCTTTTTTTTTTAAGAAAAAAAAGTTAATCCATCCATCAGTATTTGCATCCATCAGATCAAAAGTCTCACCAACCGTCCTTTTGTCGGTCTGTTTATTTACTTTCCTGTTTTTGTCCTTATTGGGGATTTTTTTCTGAGGGGCTTAACTGACAAATTAATATGAAATGAAGGGTTAATTTTCTTGTGGAAGAAACTGAAATAAATTCCTGGTAGAAGATCATATTTTGGAGAACTGGGATTGTTCCATTTAAAAGTCGACTCACTAAATCCACCAGGCTACATAAGGTGGAATCTTTATGAGAATACACACAGTGACACAAATTAAGAATTTATATAATTTATTAATTCAATGCAGTTTATTTCTATAGCACCAATTCACAACACTTCATCTCAAGGCAATTTACAGTTCACCAGATCATACAGTCAAATTGAAAACCAGTCGATTGCATCGACTCATTGACTCTTCAGCAATCCCTCACACTGAGCCTGATTCTAGCGACAGTGGAGAGGAAAAACTCCCTTTAAACAGGAAGAAACCTCCAGCAGGAGCAGGCTCAGTGTGAGCGGCCATCTGCTGAGGCCCACTGGGGTTCAAGGAGACAGAAGCAGACATAGAAAAAGAAGCATACTGTAGATAGAAAAGGCAACTGTCAACCAGCTCCACAGGCGGCCCCGTCCAGGTAACACACAGCCAGGCAGACGAGCTCCGAGCCAGCTCCCATGTCAGAGGATGAAGAGAGCACATCCAGCCAGTCAGTCATAGAAACAGGACTACACTGGAAAACAGGCCAAGCTCCAACATCTAGAAACAAAGGTGTTGATGGCAGCAGCACAGCTGATATTTCTCTCCAGGATGGAGTCACAGCCAAACAGGAACAGACCAGATGAAGCTACTATGAGAAAAAGCAGAGAGAGCAGAACGTTAGAGATTGAACTAACAGATTCTGCAGAGTGGGAGAATAGAGATAGAATGATGAAAAAGGGGTCCCTATGTCCTCCAGCAGTCTAAGCCTATAGCAGCAGAACTATAGTGATAGCTCAGGATAACCTGAGCCACTCTAACTATAAGCTATATCAAAAAGGAAAGTTTTAAGCCTAGCCTTAAAAGTAGACAGGGTGTCTGCCTCACGGACTAAAACTGGCAATTGGATGTTGTACAAAAAAGTGGATCTAATAAAAATCTAGATGAAAGAATAACTTGGTCACAAAATGTCAGCGGAAGAACAGTGTTGTAACGCTGCATTTCCACATACAGAACAGCAGCGATGTAGCAGCACAATACAGTATAGTAGTCCGGCTCATTCTGGCCATGTAGCGTTCGGAAACAGAAAACACGTTTTCGGGCCTTTGACGCTCCAAGACGATTCCTCAACTTTGTGTGAATCAGACCGAAGCTTGAGAAAATCAGTTGGAGCCGACGAAGCACAAGATTATAACTGGGTTTGGGTCTGCTTAAGGCTAAATATTCACCAAAAGAAACAAATCTTTCCAGTAAAATAATCCTGTCAAGTTCCTTCCTGAAGAAACTGGAAGAAACAGTTTCTTCTGGACAGAATAAGCTTGGAAGAAAAAACTGGGGGGAAAAAACTGCATCTGGAAGAAACTTCCATCCCTGATGAAATGTATGATGAACCTTTGTGTGTAATGACAGGATCAATTAGAAGCTAATATAAGGAGCTGTGTGTGTTTCCAGGACAGCGTGGAGCACTGCATTATAGGCGTCACCATTCTGTCCCAGCTGACAAACGAGATAAATCAGGTGAGTTTTTATTTCAAGCTGCTTCTTCCTGGACCAGTGATTGCAGAGCTTGTTTGAGCCAGCAGTCGCTGCAGTGGCTGCAGGTTCCCCAAATCTTGTTCTTTCCTTCCTCAGGCCGACACGACGCATCCACTGACCAAACATAGGAAGATCGCTTCATCGTTTAGAGACTCGTCGCTCTTCGACATCTTCACGCTTTCCTGCAACCTCCTCAAACAGGTCAGTCCTGAAGGCCCGCCGTTACCAGGAAAGTGACCCTGATCTTCCCAGCTGAACAATAGGGACAAATAGATCGAGCAGGAACTTGAAAATCTGACAATTTTCTAGTCAGTGAACTCAACATAGTTAGGTGTGAGCCACAATACATAATTCTTATGTGTTTGGATCCAGGTCACATTTACCATCACAGTTTAATGGGCTCACTTTTCATATTGACTAATTAATGATGAACAATCTGCTCATCTGTCTGGATCTGAAGGCCAGTTATACATGAACAGAGTAAGAAAGTGTTGGTTCTCTTGGTGCTTCACTTCACTAAAAAGTAAACTGAAAACGCCTCCAGATGCAAATAAACATAGAAGAACGTCTCACCCACTGTCCTCTATAGCGGTCAGAGGCCCAGAGACCCCAAACACCCCTCTCCAACATCTGTTATTGTACACTGGATCCATCTAATTCTGGTTCTGACCCGTGTCTGTATGGAAAGTGCGGAAAACCCTTGATTTTATTCAAGCACACAGGAGTCATGGAAAGGCTTAAAGGCCTCTTATTATCTGGTGAAGATTCTCAGTCACTCAGGTACAGACATTCCAAAAAAGTTAAAACAATCCCCTGGACTTTGTTTCCAAGTTTGAAGACGTTTCACTTCTCATCCAGGAAGCTTTTTCCACTTCAAAATGTCAGAGTTACAGTTGAGTTCGATGTTTGACACAGCAGCCCAACAAAGCCTGGTTTTTGTTTAGAAAGCATGCTAATTGAAACGGACGAAACGGCTTTTTTGTTAGCCTGCAATGCCCCATACCTGTCTATGTCTCTGAAAGGTGGTTGTTGAAGGGAATTGTTGGCCTGGCTGAATAGGCGAGGTCTTCTGTTCTCCTGTAAAAGGGCTGCGATGATAGTGGGAAGGAATCAACTCAATCGCTGAATTGTAGGTTCCTTTACGCTCCTCTCAAACCACCTGTCTTCTTTGTCCAAAATGTGAACATTCTGGTCCTCCAAAGAATGTCCTTTGTCAATAAAGTGTAGATGTACCATAGATTCTTGTCCAGAGGAGGGCGCTCTTCAGTATTGGGCCATGCACCTGTGGAGAGCTTGTTTGGTTTCTCCAATATAAAGATCAGAGCATTCCTCACTGCATTGAACTGCAGACACTCTGCTCAGAATAGGTCTGGAGGTTTGGTCTTTAGGATGCACTAGTCTCTGTTTAAGGGTCTGTTTGGTTTGAAATGTTCTGGGAGAAAATCCTCATGAGATTGTAAGAGACTTCAGCAACAAATTGGATGGAGATATTTTTGCATTTAATCATCTCAACGTTCTGTTCTGCTGCGTGTCGTTTGGATTTCCTTCCTGTTTTCTAAAAAAACAAAGCTTTGTTGGGCTACCGTATAAAACCTTGAACTCAATGTTTTTCTGACATTTTTAATTGAATAAGCTTCCTGAATGGTAATCAAAACCTCTTAAAACTTCTAAAACAAAGTCCAGTGGACTGTTTTTTAACTTTTTTGGAAAGCTTCATATTATCCTACATTTGAAAATAAAATATATCAATATGGAGGCCCCCAGAGAAGATCAGTTAGACAGCATGTGGCTGAAATCTCCTCATTCAGTCCTGGTAACAAGTCAGAGTTTGTGAAGATGGTGGCTAGGAGCTAGGAATAAAACTTTAGATGAAGTTCAGAGCTTGACTGATTGGTCACTAAAGACTCTGGCCAGCTTATTTCCCCTGATGACATCATACAGGGAATGCTTTTCAGAGACCAGCATTAGCTTACTCTTACAGAATGTTTAGAATGTGAATTGTTTGATATGGCAGCTTTTTTATTTTTTAATTTTTTTTTTTAGAGCTGTTGTTCATCCACCCTTTTTTCCTGATGATAACCAGCCGTGTCTGTGCTGGCAAAACCAGCTCGGTTTGCACCAAATCAAACATGCTGTCTTTATATATAAAATACATCATATTTAGGATAAAAACTTTTTATTACCTCAAAGGATGTTGTGTGTTTAGGAGAGTTTGTGTTTGTCTGTCTGTGTTCACGATAACATGAAAACTTATTGATTACATTTTTATCAGAGGTGTCCCTCTTGCTAAGGAAGGATCCTTTAACTTTTGGTGATGATTCAGATCATAATCTGGATAAATTCATTTTTAAAGGAAAATTCCGGTCAGCAAGGAATAATCAATTCAAAACTAATACGTCTGCGGTGATTTAAATTGGCGTAAATCAGTAAAAAGCACCATTCTCCCCACTTTACAAGCTAAATCAATGGGAACTACTAGACACATCTGCAATCAACAACAATTATTGAAGATTTCCAGAGGACTTCACCATTGAAATTCACCAG